CCTTGGCCACAGCGACACACCCTGGCCCTGATGGTTGCCTAGGCTGCCGCTAGCACCGTACGTGAACACACCCTGGCCCTGATGGTTGCCTATAGGCTGCGTTGCAGGTTTGCGACCAAAGGCACTGAGAGGCGTTTGAGGGGGGCCGTTGCCTTCGGAGGCCTAGACTGCTAGCACCGTACGTCGCAGCCCAGCAGGCCTCGGCTGCTAGCACCGTAAAGGCGCTGAGGAGGGTTTGCGGGGTTTGAGGGGGGCCGTTGCCTTCGGAGGCCTAGAAAAGAAGAGGCAGGCCTCGGCTGCTAGCACCGTACGTGGCAGCCCAGCCCGGGAGCCACCCAGGAACGATACCTTGGCCACAGCGACACACCCTGGCCCTGATGGTTGCCTAGGCTGCGTTGCGGGTTTGCAGCAAAAGGCGCTGAGAGGCAAACGGCTGCTAGCACCGTACGTGGCAGCTTAGCCCGCGGCCACCCAGAAACGACACCTTGGCCCCAGCGACACACCCTGGCCCTGATGGTTGCCTAGGCTGCGTTGCAGGGTTGCGGCCAAAGGCGCTGAGAGGGGTTTGAGGGGGGCCGTTGCCTTCGGAGGCCTAGAAAAGAAGAGGCAGGCTTCGGCTGCTACGTCGCAGCCCAGCAGGCCTCGGCTGCTAGCACCGTAAAGGCGCTGAGGAGGGTTTGCCAGGGGGGCCGTTGCCTTCGGAGGCCTAGAAAAGAAGAGGCAGGCCTCGGCTGCTAGCACCGTACGTGGCAGCCAGCCGAAACGATACCTTGGCCACACCGACACACCCTGGCCCTGATGGTTGCCTCGGCTGCGTTGCAGGTTTGCAGCGAAAGGCGCTGAGAGGCAAACGGCTGCTAGCACCGTACGTGGCAGCTCAGCCCACGGCCACCCAGAAACGACACCTTGGCCACAGCGACGCACCCTGGCCCTGATGGTTGCCTAGGCTGCCGCTAGCACCGTACGTGAACACACCCTGGCCCTGATGGTTGCCTAGGCTGCGTTGCAGGTTTGCGACCAAAGGCGCTGAGAGGCGTTTGAGGGGGGCCGTTGCCTTCGGAGGCCTTAGAAAAGAAGAGGCAGGCTTCGGCTGCTAGCACCGTACGTCGCAGCCCAGCAGGCCTTGGCTGCTAGCACCGTAAAGGCGCTGAGGAGGGCTTGCGGGGTTTGAGGGGGGCCGTTGCCTTCGGAGGCCTAGAAAAGAAGAGGCAGGCTTCGGCTGCTAGCACCGTACGTGGCAGCCCAGCAGGCCTCTGCTGCTAGCACCGTACGTGGCAGCCCTGGCCACAGACAAGTCCTGCAGCAACTGGCCGAAAGCAAGTTGAGCCACCGTTCCACCCTGCGGTGTCCCAGGCGCCGCCCCGCCTAGGCGTCAGCTAGGCAGGGGTCGGCGGATATATCGTTGACAGGTTGAAATCAGTGTCAAGGTTCCACCAAACTCCTTGCTCTAGCAGTCTTTCATGTTATACGTGTAGAATTAGCTGTTTTCACTCCAAACATGTCGAGGCTTCAGTGAACTTGTTGCACGGCTTGCAGCCAGCTGTCCATGAAAAAGTTTCCAGGCGACCTGGGCTAACGCCTGGAAGCTGTTTGTTGCTTTGCCAGTATGTACGTCGCCCTTGAGTATTCCCCCTTGCTTTGCTTTCCCCTCCACCTTTGCTCTATGTCCTCCTCTACATTTTTCTTTCGCCTCCTCTCCCTTCCTTTTTGCCCTCCCTTCTTCACCTGACCATGCTAACTTTACCCCTGACCTCAAATTACTCAACACCGCAGCAGAGCGGCTCAGATCTTGTAGGTGATTTCTCACACCCTTGCCCTACAGGGTTTGAGTGTGAACAAGTCACAACGTTCTGGTGGGCTCCTTAGTCCGTCAAGCACTTACTGCTTTGAGCACGGAATCCGCAGAGATTCAAGTTCATGCTCTTGCAGGTTCTGAGCAGCCTAGCTCGAGAACTATGGAGCCAAAGGAAGCGAAGAGGTGGGAGTCGCTTGAAGCTTGGTAACTTCGCAGTCCAGCTGGCTGAAGAACTGAAGACTTGCGTTTGGCCCGGCCGGGCAATGCAACATGACAGGCATGTCTCGTTCAGCGATGCCCATGACAAGAAGGCACAGACGCCCTGAAGGTGTCCGAAGGTCCTAGGGCACATCAAGTGTTGGAAGGTCCCTAGTGTGGGAGGTCGTGCAAAGGTTGGAGTGACTTTAGATGTTGTTAAGACGAGTGACAGTGACAATATGTTCAATATGTGTTACATTATGTTATAGACGCGTATGCAATGCATGTGTGTGTATCACTTACAAACTTGATCAAACTTGAAAAACCAAAGACGTGCTGCTCACTGGTGTTGAGTCGACGAGGCAGACGAAGTGGGACGGGGCTCGATGGCCGGTCTCATCGGACGGGTCGTGCGCCGCCCCGCGCTGCAGGCAGAGGACAAGTCTTGAGCTCAGCTTTCTCGATCCAACTCGTCGAGTGAACAATCTATATAAGTCGTGGCACCGCAGCGTTGGCTGAAGGGCGAGCGCAGCCCATCCCAAGATAAATACAGACATGTTGACACACGCAGATCCTACAGAGATCCCCATGATTGCTTATGAGATCTTTGAGTCCAATCAGGGGACTGCATAGGCTCCACACCAATTCAAACACTGACACTCTGAACAGTACGGCACGTGCCGTTTAAAAGTTTGGCCGTTTGGGCTGGAAATGGTTTCCGTTATAAAACACAATTAAGGATTCTGCTGTGGGTGCTGGCTGGAGCCAAACCGCAAGGTATATCAAGGTTACATTGCTAAGTGTCAGCCTTTGATAGTCGCAAGCACTGCCGAATGAGCTTCGACCGGCTCCTGGCTGTTCCTTCCTTGTGCTGGGGCGACCATGAAGCGGAAGCTTTCTTCCAGAGATATCGGCTGCTGCACCTGAGAAGACCTGAAGGGTGCCTGGGCAAGAGCTGCAGACACGGTAACCAGCATTTGGGTTGGGTAGTGATTGGGGTGGTTTGCCGATCTCGTGCCTTATATGCATGTAGATGTGGGCAATATGATGTACTTAGACATGTTCATTGTTCACCACATTTCACCACGCCATCGTCCGATATGTTAATCAAAAACAAAAGACGTTCCTTCCCAGGCGCCGGATCTCCTTTGACCACCACCGGCATCATCTCCACCGGTTCCTCTCCGGGCCACACCGGGTGGCGTGGACCGCGGAAAACGAGAGCGGCTCTTTGGCAGTGGCCCAGCACGCGCTGGGCGCTCCAAGACGCCGTGGCGAGGACACTCGCCCTGTGGGCGCATGGTACAGCAGCTTCGTGGTGGAGGGCGAGGTCGCCAGGTGCTTCATGGAAGGCATCCAAAGCGAAGGTGGTGAAGAGATGCAGATTCCACTTCAAGGTGCAATGGGGAAAGTGGGATGCAAGTGCACCGGGTGTACAAGAAAGAAATTGCTTGTGGCCACGAACCGAATTGGCGGGGAAAATGGTAAGAGAAGCAAATTGCTAAACTGATGCCTTCCACCGATAAAAAAGTCAACACTGCCCTCTAAAAAAACTTAACACTTAAAAAATGGTCGAGATGTCATTTCAATACAGGCGGGTCCCGAAAGATGGAACCTGGGAAGAGTTTCAAAACCGACGCCTCGGACAATTTTACGGAAAGTGTTCATTAAACGCGTATCAAAGATTGAAAAAGACCTACAAAAACTATCCGACACCTTGATAAAATATCGAGAATATTATTGGCCCAAATAGTCTTTTTATCAGGACTACAGATCTCAAAAGGTGAAGTCGCCCTGCTATGCTGTTTGGCGATGCCTCGGTGGAAAGTGCGTTAGTGTGGTTTTGTGCCACATGCGTGTGTAAATGCAGCGTGTCGCTGGTGAGCGGCACGAGTGGTGGTGATTCTAGAGGGTGGGTACCGAGTAAAACCTTAAAAAGCGAACTGCCTGGCGGACGTTTCTAAAACCAAAGGGAAACTGTATTTAGGGGTGCCCGACTTCGTGCGAAGAGTGAGCAGATGTCCAACCATCCATCACCGAAGGATGGCACCCCACCGGAACGGTTTGGTGCTTTGTGGGCTCCAACCCTGGCACGGATGGTCGCATGGTGGGAAAGCCTGAGCACGTGGATCAGCTCAAAGCTGGTGTCGTCACCATGCACAGCCAGCTCGCAGGCAACAAGGTTTGGCTGCTCCGGCCCCATCCCTTGGCAAATGCTTGGGCCCTTTGGACAACGGAACGTGAAAGTCTTGTGAGCGGGTCTTCAAGTCTGTGCCACGAACCATGACCAACCAAGCATGGCAGTTTTGAGAGGTCAAAAATGAGCCTAGTTCCCCAAACAGGCACAGTATGTGATTGAGTTTAAGAAACTATTTTGAATCTGCAATGATTTGTTGGAAGGAGTGGTTTGGACTCCTTTTCTGGGTCGACTCCTTTCATCCAGAAACCAGAGCCAACTCTCCCAGGCTTCGAGAACCGCACCTGCTTTGGCCGCTGAGCGGTTGGAGATCGTTTGCCACGAGGGCGATCGGTTGATAATTGACACCACTGCGTGGTGTCTGGGCAAAACAGGAAACAGCAGATTTTCGAAGTGTCGCGGGTTGGCCCAAGTGGGGCACAAGATTCTCCTGTGCAAGGTGGGCAGAGTATAAAACATAATGTGTTTGGTTCTTTTGAATCCGTGCGGGGTACCTGAAATGAGGGATTTCGATTTGGGTCGAATTTGAATGGAGAAAGCTGCAGGTTGTCTGAGTGAGACTAATCAGAGGTACCATTCTACCAGCATCCTTCCGGACACTGATTTCACCTGCTCAATTGCACAAGACCTGGCAAAGGGCCCACAATCGGCCGATCAAACAACCGAATCTATCCAACTGCGTGTCTCTCATCAACTCTGTCAGTTTTGCATGACTCCAACGACCACGCCCGTGGGAGCTCCTCCGGGCACTTGTGGGTGCAGTTGCTGTAGCCAGCACCGGATCAAGGCTTTGCAGTGGAGATGTTTCAGAGAAAGTTCTCTTTTGACCCATCGACTCCTGAAGAGAGCTCGACTCCTGAAGAGAGCTGCAAGTTTGGTGCACAGACGCTGGACTGTTTCTCCACGGTCACAGACGCAGCTACTGGCGCTTTGCGACGTGACAGACGAAGATACGCGAAGACCCGAAAAGAGGTGAAAAGAGATGGCCTGCACATAGGCATGAGACATGCTGAGACAGGTGCTGCAAGAATGAATAGAGATGAACTAGGTGCCCATATTGGCAAGCGAGAATGCACTCAGTGACCCAAGGATCCGCAGTTCATGATCTCCTGTTGGTTGGATGCCACATACACTTGCTGGCTCCCAGCGTTTGACTGAGGCCTTCGGGCCCAAGTATCCCGAAGGGCCCTGGTGACAGATGGAAGATTCCGCCCAACTACGAGGTGTGGGGCTAGGGCTGGAGAAAGTGGAACTGGAAGAATCCTATGCCACGTGTGTACCCATGGAGCGTCACATAGCCAGAATGTTGGGCTTGGGGGTCGGAGGGTGTGGTGTTACAGGCGTTCCTCCAACAGAAGGGGTGACGTGGTAGCATCGAAATCCGCCTTGCAAAGCAATGAGCCCTTGAGGCAGTTGACCTTGGGTGCGCGGTGAATTGCAGACCGCCGCAACATAAATAGTAAATTATCTATTAAATTGTTTCTGTCAATATCAGACAAGCCGTACTCCACAGCAGATTACGAAAGAGAGAGATAGGGGGGGCGACAAGGAGAGAGTGAGGGAGGGAGGGAGAGACAGAAAGATGGACTCTTGCTTGTCAATACCTAAGTCTAGTCTAGGTAGTGTGCCACAAAAACCAACACACTCGGCGTCAGTCAGAAGCCATGACAGCAGTTTTTCAATGCTCTTCATGCACCAAACAATAATGTGTCGAGGGCGACCCTGGGTGAAGACATGCCTTTCAGCAGGTGAAGCAGCTCATTGGAACGGGTTCCTATGGCAGCGTTTGCGAGGTGGGTCCGCTGCGTTGACACTTCGATTGCTATCAGAAAGAAAAGGACGCCCCCCCAAGTGCACAATCATGGATGTGGAACAGGAACCCTGGAAGACAATGCGGAATGTGTCCGCTCCACTTCATGAGCGTTAGAAGACAGAACCTTCCTGCAGCTGAAACTTTCTCATGTGATGTAGTCATTGATATAAGTTGGAAAGCCAGGGCCTTGCACCAAAAGCGGGAGTTTTTATCCATGAGACCTCCTCTGTGTTCGATGCGAATTGGTTGCTCACAGTGTGACGTCCCGGAACCCCATCAGGCCTTTGACAATGACAAAAAGCGACTCGTGGCGATCAAGAGGCGCCCGTTCGGTCGAAGGTAGAAGTTGTCCAGAGAGTTGCCGTTCGAGCCATTCGAGAACAGATGGGCGTTTCGTTCGGCATAATCTTACAACAAATGGTGGTTTTCCTGCGGAAACGGGGTGGTTCTCGGTTCTCAGCTCAATTTCAGGGGCTTTTTGCTCAACCATCTTCGGCCAGGATTGCCCACATGTTTGAGGATTTGATCGACTGCAAGTGCCTATCTCAGGAAATGTGTTCATGTCAACCGAAAGGCCGAAAGACCGGCTACTTTTGGAGCACACAGGCACCAGAGAAAGGCTCGTCGCAGCCTTTTGGCTTTAAGTTATATACAATTGAGGGTTGGAGTCTGTCTTGTCCATGAAGCGTTTAATTTCAGGCGCATCCTGCGAGAGATTGCCATTCTGTCCAAGCTCGAGCATGAAAACATTGCCCGCGCCCTTATAAAACAGTATGTTCCTTTGCGGCCCTTTGTGCAAGAATCAGCGCTGCTTTTGATGCGATTTCCCCTCAACCCAGCAGAGAGGATTTGATGTCAACATACCTAGACTGGGCGGGGGTCGGTTCTGTATTCTGTGATCCAGATTGCAGGACTGCTGACTACTGACTACTGTGCTTGTTCGCACAAAGCCTGCAATGAGGTCCAGGTTTATGACATTGCTTGCAGCCCCAGTCTTCATCAGTTCGACGAGCTAGAATGCAGTCTAAACTAAACCTGAAGGCTTTCACTCCAATTCTGGTTTGGACATGTTTGGACGCCAGTGCACCTAGCACAACCTGTTTGATGCTAATCGTTCTTTTTACCACTGTTAACTTGCTTGTCCAGTGTTGGCCCGACCGTAGCTTTTCATGTGAATTATGCTTCTGTTCGTTGAGGTGGCGCCAAGCAACATTCACAAGCTTTGCTGGCATGTTTCGATCTCGCAAACCCCAAACGCCCCAGTTTGGGTGCACGAACATTTGGACGGACTGAAGGACGGTCTTCCCTCTTTGCACGGAAACGATAGGCCACTTGGCATTTTCGGACTCAAAGAGAAGTTGCAGTGCACACGGGCAACATTGGCGTTTATATGATTTATATGCACATGAGTGAGAGGGAGACGCAAAAGATTCCGTGACTGTTTAGGCCCATGACTTCTTCTCAAACCAACCACTTCAATGGAAAGTTTGGCTTTTGATACAGTAAAGAACCCAGAAGTCTTCAAAGCCAATGCACTCTCAAACTCCTTTGCCATTATTTCTGATCAGGAGTGCAAAGCACCTTCTTGACTCACTTTATGAGTGTGTCACTTCATGTCTACTCAGAACCCAAGATCATGGAGCTCCTAAAAACTCGCAACATGACACGAAGTTCTTGAGGCCCTTGACCAAGATCGTAGGTGAAGTGAAGCCTCGTTGATTTCGTTCTTGGGCGACCATGCTTAGCCCCTAAAGTGTTGTGTTCTTTTTGCTTGCTCGACAGCTTCGACGAGCTCTACATGGTCATGGAGATTTGTGATTCAGATCTGAAGAAGCTTTGCCGAACGGACCCTGTTCGTCAATCGAAGTAGGGGGTGAATAGGTGACAGCTTTGTTGAAAGCAAAACAGGCCACTACTCTGGTAGGTGGAATCCGCGCGCATGTTTTTCATGACTCTTCTTGGCCCTTTGTCTTTTGCAAAACGAGCCATGATGTCGCTCGGCATGTGTGCGTGATTTGCTCGCATGTCTCTTATCCTCGCAGGATGTGACACTGACCCCACTTCACATCAACACTCTTCTCTACAACTTGCTTGTGGGACTCAAGTACCTGCACTCAGCCCCGGCCTGAGACTGGAAACTGAGCAAGTCCAGAAGTTAGCAAGGCAACCGGCGGCGACCGGTGGACCTCGACAACAACAAAAGCACTGTTCAGGAGTTCCCGGATCCAGCACCTGAGTATGCAGTGATGCTATGGATTTGAGCTTTTGCCTTCATTGGTCAAACACCCTGACGTGATACTCACACACTTTCGATGAATCAAGAGTCTTCAGTTGCTCAGATGTTCCATTCTGAAGTAGATAAACGCCCGAATTGGCGGCATCATGCGGCATCCCAGTTCAGTCCATACATGTGTTATTCAACATTGCTGTGACATATTTTTATATACACCCGCATCATCGGTTGGCGGATATATATATATATATATGTGTAGAGTATAGGGAGAGAGGAAAAAGGAGAGATCTACATGTCTGAATCTATGTGTATATGATACTGTGTGGATGTGTTCCTAACAAATGTGCAAATTAAAGGGAGCAGCCGAAGTTCCAAAGCAATTATAACAAATATGTGGCCAACACCTGGAAAGAAGTGAAAGGAAAGCATAGGACACGCAGCCCTTACACACCCTGTTCACCTATATGCAACCATTTTTGTAGAACCTTCCTTTGACGTAACGTATATGGGGGCCCCTTAGGTATTGCACGATGTTTTGCCGTCAGCTTGTGCTTTTTCTGCTTCCCAGGCTGGGATTTATCACAGGGACTTGAAGCCAGCGAACTGCCTGGTGAACCAGGTAGAGGGAAACGAGACAACGAGACACTGGCGCTTCCGAAGCATCTCCAAGTCCGCATCATCCTTGTGGATAGTCACCACAATGTTCCATGCTATGTGGTGGCTACCACAGGAAATAGACAGACAGTAGAGATCACGAAAGCTAGCGTCAGCTAGCTGGAGTTACTCTACTAGGAGCTAGGACGCTACTAGGGGCTCCTGGCATCGCTGCTAGGAGCAAGAAGCTACTAGGAGCAACAGCAAAGGGCATCGCTACTAGGAGCAAGGACGCTACTAGCTGGAGTTACTCTCCCTCATCATCGCCTTTGTCGTTGTCGTCGTTATCGTCATCGTGTTCGTCGCCTTCGTCGTCGTTTTCGTCGCGGCATCGTCTTCGTCATCGTGTTCCTTGTCCTTGTCCGAGCCTGCTCGTGTTGCCTGTGTTTTGCCTGCGTTTGGCATCATGCGTTCATCATAACATTCTGCTATTGCTTTTGTATGGCCAATGACCAATGACCTTCTTATGCCACAGAAGTTTTCTCCTCCACCGGGCTTGTACACACCAAACCACAAGTTATATCAATCAATTTATAACAACCACGGTTTACACCAAACCATGGTATCACTTGCATTGATACCGCTTCACGTTCGGGCAAGAGTTAGGAGTTAGGGGTGTTTTTTGATGGCATGAACGCTCTTTATCGATTTTGGAACAAAAACCAATGCGAACGTCGGCTGCAGTCTCGCTACCGCTCACCGCATCCAGACCATGCTAGCTTTCATCACCAACCCCCGGCCACAAGTATGGTGGAAGAACCTTCAGACCCAATTTTCCAAGATGCTCAAAGCAAAAGCAGGCGGGCCACAGGGGCCGGGCTCCGGTAGTTTCAGCCACATGCTTCAGTCGCAACATCATCCACACGATCGATGTTGGCCATCGTTTCAGCCGTTTCAGGACTGCTCGGTGAAGATCTGCGACTTCGGCCTTTCGCGAGCCATCGAAGCGGCCGAACAGCCACATCTTCATGCGTGGCTTGGCCGGTCATGGCGGCGAGCTGCCAGACAAAGACCACCAAGAGAGAGAGAGAGACAGACAGACAGACAGACAGACGGACAGACGGACAGACGGACAGACGGACAGACGGACAGATGGACAGACGGATAGACGGACAGACGGACAGACGGACAGACGGACAGACGGACAGATGGACAGACGGACAGACGGACAGACCTCCAAACGGAGATTCTGTGAAAGTCAACGTTTTGTTATGTGTTTCCTCGGATGGCTTGGATGACTCGGAAAGGTGACCAAATCTTTTACTTGACATGTTTTCTGTGGGATCAGGGGCTGAATTGAGCTTTAAGAATCATTCAACTGTTTGGATGTGGGAAAATGTGGGGCAGCTGGTCCCTATTGAACAGTGTAGCCTTTGGATACCTTTGGATCGGCAAGTCATGCTGCACCATTCTTCCTACGGTAGACTGGGGATATCATGGGATACGTAATCTAAGGCAATCGGCAATCTAAAAAATACCTTAAGAATAGAGATATCCATTGGCGATGTGGTGCAGGATATTGATCCTGACTCCAAGGTTGCCGAACACGCCCAGAGGAGATGGAGAGCCAGAGGCGGGTGGCAAGTGGGACAGCTGAAGGTCACACGTATCATGTTTGAGAAATCCCTGCCGCAGCTCGTCCTGAAAGTCTGATTGTTTTCGCTTTAGCCCGTTTTGCGGTCGCCACCAGGTGTCCATCATGCCACGAGATGCATGGTTGATGCCCGCCTGACCTTTTTCTCCTTTGGCCAAACCTCCTTTCAGGAGGTCACCTACGGCAGGTTCGCTTCGCCGCCATAGCGTGCCTTGAGATCGAACCCTTTGGAGGGGTTGCAGCCTGTTGGAAAAAGAAGCTTTTGCCTTTGCTTCTTTGAAGCGCTGCCAGTCACGGAGCTTGCAGAGCCCGCTGGTTGGAAGTCTTTGAGCCGGAGCCAGCACAGCAGAATTCGACCAGGGCAAGTGGTGGCTGGTGCGCTTCGAGGTCCTGGACTTCGCCCTCCCTACATCCTCAACTTTGACACCAAGCTGCTTGGAGCGGCTGCTGGGGACTACGTCTTGGCCTTTGACCTGACGGACCTGGCAGGTGGGAGACGCAGAACCAGGACACAGACCTCAAGAGGTCATGGCTTCGGAGAGACAAGATCTCCGAACCCCGACATGGGACGGTGAGCCATCCACCTTTCCGGACTACGTGCGCAAGGTCCGGTTGGCCTATGAGAGGACGAGGGCACGGCGCCGGAAGTACCTCGGACCAGAATTGGTCGCTGGTCTGACAGGAAGAGCCTGGACGATCACCCAGGAGATTTCTCACCGTGACCTGGTGAGTAATGATGGAGCGCTCTTCCTGATCCGCTACCTGGAGGAGCACCTCGGACGGGTGCCAGTTCCGGACGCCGGAACGAAAGCTGAACAGCTGTTCGTTCGCCTTCGCCGGCCTTTGAACATGTCCATGGCCACTTGGTGCTCTACGGTGCGGGAGCACTACCGTGGTTTGCAACGGGCTTTGAAGCGAGCCCGAAGGGAGCAAGATGACAATCGCACTGGGTCAGAACGAATGGCTCCAGCAGGAACTTCAGTCTCGAGAAGATCACCGCCTCGGACGCCGACACCAACGCCGGTTCTCCACCTTCGCGAGATGGACGAGCACGAGGAGCAGATGGAGCTAGTGGACCTCCCTCACCCTCTTCGTCAACCCGTCGCCGGGCTAGCAAGAGGTCAGTGCCTGAGCCAGATCCACCCAGCTCAGCGCCTGATGAGGGAGAGTTTGAAGAGGTTGAGCCCTATGTCCCGGTGACACCAGAGGTTCCATCTGCCACTTCCCCTGAACCCCATCGACCTGAAGGTTCTTGCTCAAGGGATGAGACACCACCTTGTCGCCGTCGTGAACGTGATTCTCGCTCGGACTCCAACACCGAGGACGAGGAGGTGACCAGAGGTTTTGAGCGATGTGAAGAGCTGGATTCAGGTCTGCCGGAGGTCCTGCCGACCGAGTTGGTTGGTTGGTTAGTTCACAGCAACGCCTGAATGTGCTTTGCTCCATCGGGAACTCACTACGAGCTGAAGATGTTGAACGCGGACTTCGTGGTGCAGAAGATGAACTACGACTTCATGAACGTGAACAAGTTCCCAAGGGGCATGGAAAGAAGGGCACCAATCGCCCTGTGTTCTGGATGGAGCACCATGGTGAACTATGGAGCTTTTGGTGTTGGGCAATCTTCGTATGCCTCAACTGCAACCCCGGCATCTTCCAGCCAGGGTGAAGGCACGTGGTATCAAGATGGCCGAGGAGGCTACACCTGGTGGGACTATGATGAGGAGACTGAGGAGTTCTACCACCAGGACGCTGCTGGAACCTATTGGGCCCTCACGGACTGGGATTCACGACATCAGGAATCCTACCTCACTGAGGAGCAGCAGAAAGAGCTCGACCAGGCCTATGCCACCTACGAAGGGAAATTCAGGAGCTTCACAGAAAGCCGCAACCTGATGCACCAGAAGCAGTTGGGAAGAGGCTTCTTTCCAAAGGGCGGCAAGGGCAAGAAAGGAAAAGGAGGTGGCAAGTTCCGACCTACTACATCGACCTCATCGTCTTCGACTGGACGAGGAAAAGGGGCAGCCATGTCCGCTGACGTGATGGCTGCTGGAGTCGGAACACCGGGCTATACAGGCTGCTTCATTTGCGGCAGCCGAGATCATGAATTTCGCCAATGCCCTCGCAAAGGAGCAGGACGCAAGGGCAAGGGTGGCAACATCTACGTCGTGACGGAAGTGGTTGGGATCGTGCCGGAGCTGGTCGGCCATGTCTCGCAGCCCGACTTAGAAGGGTACGCCGTTCTCGACACCGGCGCGACAGAGACAGTCACTTCGTTAGAAGCTTTAGAGTATGTCATGAAGAAACGTCGGGCCCTCTTCGGTGATGAGTATGTTGAAGTGATTGATGGTCCTCCCAAGTCCTTTCGATTCGGAAACGGCCAAACCATGCCAAACAAAATCTTCGGAAAGCTTCGTTCTCATTCCACAGTTGCTCGCTCAACACCACAGTACCCTCGGAGCCTTCACGCTCCACGCTGCAGGCGTCCCACTCCTTCTGGGAATCAAAACGCTTGAGAAGCTTGGGGCCGTAGTTGACTGTAGGAAAGGAGCCATGATCCTGCAAGCCATAGATGCGACCTTACTCATCCCACTTGAAAGGTCACCGACAGGTCATTTGCTCATCAACCTATGTGACAATTGGCTGGCAGGAGGCTCACGGATTTACTTCATCTCAGACCACAGAGTCGAGAAGAAAGAGTTTGAGCCCTCCGACTCGGTGTACATGATCAACGCCATTGGGGATGAGCAGAATATCACCCATACTGAACCCCCTCATTCTAATGAACGGGATGGCAGTGATCATGTCCAACGATGGCCCGACGATCGTCGCAGTTCGAGTTCGAGTCATTTGCAGTTGATGTCACAGCATGAAAGAGATGTTTTTGTCACCATCCCACCTCATGAACAAGCTGATTGGTTGAGAGATTTGTTTTCAGTTCGTGAAGTTTCAACACCTGGCACTCCACCCTTGCAGATTTGGAGATTGCCTGAACCTTCCGCCTCAGCTTTTCCGGAGCAGGACATGTCCCTGAGGACACTTGCTTGGTTAGCCAGCCTGCCCGCGATCCTGTCCAACGAACTTGCCCATGTCGTCCCATGGCAAGAAGGACCAGGCCAAGCTGAAGGAAAAGAACACGGGCCGAGCGCTGCAGCGGAAGGACGACAAACTCGACTACTCCCGGACCGTGCGCGCCGACCCTCGGGACCCACGCACAGTGGGCAGCCCCTGCTTTGGGAGCCACGAACCGGCAGCTCCATTCCGAGGGAGTCCAACGGGCGAGAACGCGCACCAAGTGCAAGTTGAGACTGGAGTACACACCTGCATTGCATGGGGAGCTCATGCTCTCACAAGGCAGGCCGGCGCATTGCCGGTGGATGTGGAGCGCCAGCTGGACAGCCTCAAGGAGAAGGCACCCTACAGCGACCTCCTGCGCAACCACGAGATCGGCCTCGACGGAGCCGAGCGCAGCTGCCTGGATCGCCTCGAGAAGATTCGCCGCCGCAAGAACTACAACAGGTCTTCACCAAGCACTCCATCGACACGGGCCACGGACGAGACGACGGTGAGGACGGCCAGCGAAGGGTATCGCAGTCCCTCGCAGCAGATGCCTCTTCGGCCAAGAACGCCAGTGATCGATGTCGAGCAAGGTGGGCCTCCAACATGCCGACCAACGGTGGTGAACCTGGAGGAGGCAGACCATGCAATGCTCCCTGGGAGAAAGGAGAGGCGCAGTTCGCTGACGCCGGAGGAGCTGGAGGCCGCAGAGAGGGAGCGCAACCGATCTCCTTCGACCCCGAGTTGGCTGGATGTGGAAGAGGCGGAGCGGAAGACTCCGTGAACTATGAGGAGAAGAACGACATCGAGCCGGACTATGAGCTCATCATGGCGGATGAGACGGACGAGAACTACCACGACGACTTCACCATCCTGCATTTGAAGGATGAGGAGAAGAACTATATGGTGAACCTCACGCAGGACCACTTCATGGACCTCGAGGACGAGATCTATGCCTGCGGAGGACTTCGAGAAGAAGATCGGCTCGACGTGCTGGAGCTTTGCTGCGAAGAGAACAGCCTCCTGGCGGACACCATCAACAAGATGGGTGGCAAAGCTGAAAGAGCCGGCCTATTCAATGGCTGCGACATCTTGAAGGTTGAAGGCAGGGAACGGATTCGTCAGATCATCCGGACCAGACACCCAAAATGGATCTGGGTGGCACATCCCTGCGGAGCTTCCAGCCCCATCCAAAGGTTGAACGAGATTTCTGAAGAGGGCTGGTACAAGAGCATGAGGCGGCAACAAAAGTCCCGACGCCTCATCAAGCTGGGAAATGAACTACATGCTGAACGGTGGTCACGTGGCTTGGGAGTGGCCTCGCTACAACGATGGATGGTACTTTCCAGAGGTCCGCTCTTTCCTGGACTATGAGGACCACAACTTTGATGGCTGCATGTTTGGCCTCCGTTCACTCGAAGGCTTCCACAAGAAGCCGTGGACTGTCCGCTCAAGCAGAAGTGGTGTCTTCGAGCTCATGGAGCGGAAATGCAATGGAAGCCACACCCATGTTCCTCTGGAAGGTGGCTGCAGGACGAAGAAGTCAGCTCTCTACACCACCTCCATGTGTAGGACAGCAGCCAAGTGCATCCTGGACAACCTGGACACCGCCTACGATGTGTTCGGCGTTGAGACCATCAAGATCGACCGTGAGAGCCTCAAGACTATGACAGCTCAGGAGCTGGAGAGACTCACGGTGACGGTGATGAAACTACACCGGAGATGTGGACACCCAAGCAACCGGGCTTTGGTGAGAACTTTGGCAGCCCGGAATGCCGATGGAAAGATGCTGGCAATTGCAGAGCAGCTCAAGCGCGATGAATGCCAAGAAGGCCAATTCAGTCCACCAATGGGCAACGTGTCCCTGGAGAAGGAGGAGAAGATTTGGAACACGCTGCAGATGGATGTGATGTTCTATAAGCACGGAACCAATGTGCACCACTTCCTGATCATGCTCGACGAGGCCAGTGGATTCTCCATCTCGGCAGAGCTCATGGTGCGCACCGAGGACCTGCATGCCAACGTGGACACCCCCAGCGTGATCGAGGCGCTGGAAGGCTTTTGGTTCCAGTACTTCGGCCAGCCAAGCCGCATTCGCTGCAACTTAGAAGGTGCGTTCAGAGGCCGAGATTTGGAGGCCTTTTGCGCTGAAAGAGGGATTGAGCTTCTGCAAGTCCCAGCAGAACACCACCAAAGCACTGGGGACGTGGAGCGGCAGATTGGCGAACTTCGCCACAAGGTTGAGTTGTTTTTGAGAAATGAAGATGTTCCACCTCGACGAGCCGTCTACAGCATGACCAGTGCCCACAACAACATGCGCCGCATCGGTGGCTACTCACCATCACAATGGGCTTTCGGACGGCAGGTGGACAATGCAGACAACGTGGCGATGCACTCTTCAGAAGGAACCTCCGACACTGCCATGTCCCAGAACCTGGAACTTCGCCTTCGAGCTGAGAAGAAGTACCTCGAGCTCCAGGCCAAGGCCAAGATCAGCAGGGCGCTGAACTCCAAAACAAAGATTTCCTCTCGGTTCTTGCCAGGAGACCTGGTCTACTACAAAAGGTACAAGGTGTCGCAGGACTTCCCCGCACATAACCTGGTGGACCAGCCTCGCCTACGGATCAGCCGCTGGTATGGGCCGGGCAGAGTCCTGGCAACAGAAACCCGACTGCAGGAGCAAGGCACTCGTCGTGCGGCAGCTTCCACCATCTGGGTGGTGTCCCAAGGACGATTGAAGAAGTTCCATGTAGACCAACTTCGCCACACCAATGAAAGAGAGCGACTGACCTGCAGCGACACTTCCATGGACGCTGACGGCAATTGAGAGGTTGATCCAGAGGGGCAACTTCGACGACTACACCCTGGAGTTTGAGAAGAGGAAGAACTACAGCCAGGCACAGCGGAGAGCGAGATCGAGAACACCTGTGCCAGTTGCTTTTCCTGGACAGTCAGGACAGGCTTCTTCTTCGGCTTCAGGACTACATCGACCTGAACCTGAACCTGGCGAGACTGTGGATGACGGCATGGATGAGACCGAGGCCATGGAGGAGGCAGAGACAGGAATAGATGGCAACCGCCTGTTCCATGACGTGACCTACAACCCGCTGAAGAGGATCGCTGGCGCTAGACCTCGTGAAGGTGAGACACCCTTCCACAAGAAGAAGGAGCTGGAGTCGGCCGCCATGTGGCGCCAGAATGTTTCCCACGACTTCGTCTACGGCGACTTCGTCTACGGCGTGGAGATTGAGATGCCGGAGAACGAGGCCGCCTGGAGGAGGATCTTAAAGGACCCGGCACGCTTCGTGGCAAAGAGCGTGCAAAAGGGAGCAGAAGTGAGTTGGGCTCGCCTTGACCCGAACAGAGGGTAGCGATGCAGGAAGCAAAGATGGTAGAGGTGGATCAATGGGTCCAGGAATCCGTCTGTCGCCACTTCAAGGGCGTGATTCCACAAGGAAGGGTGATGAAGATGAGATGGGTTTTGACCCTCAAGGCCACAGACAATCCAAAGGTGGCCAAGAGTAAAGCCCGCATCGTCTTGTTGGGCTATACTGACCCTGACCTCACCACCTTGGCTACATCAGCTCCAACGTTCACACGCCGGTCCCGACAGCTGACGCTGAACTTAGCAGCAGCCAAGCACTGGACACTCACAAAGGCAGACGCCAAATCGGCTTTCTTGCAGGGCACCATGAACAGGCCAACAGGAGCATCTATGCCATTCCCGTACCGGAGCCCTTGGTGTAGCTCCTGGAGAATGTGTCCAGATCCTGAAGGCCGCCTATGGACTAGTCTCAGCGCCCCGTGAATGGTTCCTGGAAGTTAACAGGGTGGCCACTGAGGTTTGCAAGCTTCGCCAGTTGAAGAGCGACCCATGTGTTTGGGTTCTTGATGGACCTCGACCTGGCGATGAACCTCGCGGCATCATTGCCGCACATGTGGACGACTTCCTCATCGCTGGCGACAACCTCTCCCCGGAATGGCGGGCTGCGATGGACAAGTTCAAGAAGGCCTTTCGCTGGTCTCCATGGGAAAGCACCCCATTCCTGCGTTGCGGAGTGACCATCAACCAGCTGGAGGGCCACTCCTTTGTCCTGTCCCACGATGAGGACTGCACGGAGATAAAGCAGGTGGAGATTGACAAGAAGCAGGACTTCATCACGGACGAGGAGTACTCGCAATGCCGGGCTGTGTTGGGAGCAGTACAGTGGCGTGTGCTCCAAAGCGCGCCGCAGCACGCTGCGAAGCTTTCATGGCTTCAAAGCGCCCTTCCGCACTCCAAGCACAACAAGGACTTGCTGCAGCAGGTCAACAAAGAGGTGCATGCCCAAAGGCACCTTTCGGTCCACGTCAAGCAGCTCAATGTGGACCGCTTGGAGGACATCGCCTTCGCGACCTGGACGGACGCGGCCGTTGGCAACCGGCCGGACATGACCTCCACAGGTGGCTATCTGGTCGCCATGGTGGGCCGAGGGCCGAAAGGGATTGGTGAATCCTCTTTCATGGAGGTCGGGCAAGCTGCCGCGGGTGGCTCGCTCCAGCCTTGCGGCGGAAGTCCAGGCGCTCTCGGAAGGAGAGCAAGAGCAGATGCTCTGTCGCTTCCAATGGGCCGAACTGATGAACAAGGAGGTGAATCCTCTCACCTGGCCCTGGCGACTCAGCAAGCGGCGATGGTGGTGGACGCCACAAGCGTCTACGACGCAGTCCAGAAGGGGGAGACGGCAAGCTCGGCCCACAGCATGAAGGAGAAGTACGCAGCTCTTGAGCTGATGAGCGTGGCCGAGAACCTCCGCCTTCAAGGCACCCGACTCCTTTGGGTGTCTTCAACGCTCAACTGCCCGATGGCTTGACGAAGGGTGCCGCTCAGGACATGTTGAAGGCCTTCCTGCAACAAGGCCAATGGTGGCGGATCATCTTTGATCCCATGTTCGCGGCCTCGAAGAAGAAGCCGAAGGCAGAGCGGATGCAATCAGTGCCTGAGAATTCCACCTCGAGCTCTCCTGACTGGGCACTGAGCATGCTGGAGCTGATCCGGCACGATCGGACACCTTTTGGCAACAGCCTTTTGGGTGTCTGATTGTTTTCGCTTTAGCCTGACTGTTTTGCGGTCGCCGCCAGGTGTCCATCATGCCGAGATGCATGGTTGATGCCCGCCTGACCTTTTTCTCTCAATTGGGTCAACAGGGACCCCTTTGGCCAAACCTCCTTTCAGGAGGTCACCTACGGCAGGTTCGCTTCGCCGCCATAGCGTGGCTTGAGATCGAACCCCTTGGAGGGGTTGCAGCCTGTTGGAAAAAGAAGCTTTTGCCTTTGCTTCTTTGAAGCGCTGCCAGTCACGCACTGTGAGAAAGCGGCCGTCCATCATTCCCCGAGGCTGTGCCTGGTGTGCCTCACACACAACGGCTCAAGAGGTGGGTGGATGCGATTATCAGAGGCATTTCTTGGCTATGTTGATCCCCTTAGAACGAAGCAAACTGAAGTGCTGCGCCATGAGTGGACCATGGCTGCACACCACTGAAGAAGGCTTACCAGGTCGATTCCCAAGCGTTCATTGGGGAGGCACCTTCAGAGTAGAGCATCAGACATGCTCAGATGATCCACGAAGAGCATGGAGCGTCGCCCCAGTTGATTTCCACTGGAAGTCTCTCTCCTGCATTCTGTGCAGGAATTTGACTGGGCATGTGGTGACCAGGCTCGCTGCGGCTGAGCGTCCTGCAGGGCCTATCACAGCACAACACCCGCTTTCGCAGGTGGTATCGTGCACCGGAGCTCATTCTCCTGCAGGAGAATTACACAGAGGCGTCGGCGGCATGATATGGCATGATCATATGCAAGGAACTTTCAAGGATCACATGCCCGCTGCAGAGCCCGGACATTTATTTAGCGGAAGTTCACGTAGAACAGCAAGTGATTGTAAGGAAATTGCTAAAAACTGACAATTGGCAAGTGAGAGAGGGAGAGAGGTGAACACAGTTGAACATTCCCAATGGATGGTTCTGTTCGGTGTTGGGCACTGATCCTCCGAAAAGGATCCCACTTGAAATGATTGGCTTCTTCTTGTTTTGATGCACGCAAGCTTTCCGTTTCTATACGAAACATTGTGAAACAACTTTCATGGTACCAGTTCTTTGTAGAGCTTTGAGTTTTAGCTGCCAAACCGATCAAAATACCAGGGACGTCTTTATCCTGGATCATAATGTTCGGCATTTGCGAGACCGGCTCACAAACTCAGCAAGCTCCAAGCTCCGATTTGCTGAGGCGATTGACATTTGGTCCGTGGGGTGTATCTACGCCGGGGGGCCGATGGTCGGAGGGCCGAAGGGTCGACAAGGTGAGGTATTTTCTTTTGGATCTACCAGGCGACTTTCTTGTTGTGTGATTAAGGGCCGGTGAAGTTTAAGACAGATGTTGTCTTTGAGACATTCTTCTCTTAGAGATTCCAATATTTCATGTAAGAGTTGATCATACTCAGGGTTTTGGAGATCAAACAAGCCTAGCAGCACCTCGCAGCATGGTCACGTGGAGGGATGGAGCTTCGGGAGGCTACAGGCGCATTGCCTGTGTGAGGTTTCGTGGTTTGGAACCCCTAAACTTGGCGACGTTCCAGCAAAGAGCCAAGGGAACCATGTATATACTATATACAGAGAAGGAGAGAAAGAGAGAGAGAGAGAGGGAGAGAAAGAAACAGAACATACACAGGTTCCACCTCGCTTGCATGTAACAATGTACCACCCGCGAGGCGGAGCTTCTTGGCATGCTAGAGGGCACCCGCACGCAGGCGGGGCCGTGAGGTCAAGTGCACCCATTTCGCCACTGCCAAACGCAACTAGTAGCGTCCTTGCTCCTAGTAGTAAGGCCAGGAGCCCCTAGTAGCGTCCTTGCTCCTAGCACAGATGCCAGGAGCCCCTAGTAGCGTCCTTGCTCCTAGTATAGGTAGCGTCCTTGCTCCTAGTAGCGATGCCAGGAGCCCCTAGTAGCGTCCTTGCTCCTAGTAAGGGCAGGAGCCCCTGGTAGCGTCCTTGCTCCTAGTAGCGATGCCAGGAGCCCCTAGTAGCGTCCTTGCTCCTAGTAGCGATGCCAGTATTATAGTAGCGATGCCAGGAGGCCCTAGTAGCGTCCTTGCTCCTAGTAGCGATGCCAGGAGCGCCTAGTAGCGTCCTGGCTCGTAGTAGCGATGGCAGGAGCCCCTAGTAGCGTCCTTGCTCCTAGTAGTAAGGCCAGGAGCCCCTAGTAGTGTCCTTGCTCCTAGTATCGATGCCAGCACCCACTAGGCCACTAGTAGCGTCCTTGCTCCTAGTGGCGATGGCAGGAACCCCTAGGCGTCCTTGCTCCTAGTAGTAAGGCCAGGAGCCCCTAGTACCTTGCTCCTAGTAGTGATGCCAGGCGCCCCTAGTAGCTTCTGGCTCCTGGTAGTAACGGCCAGCAGCCCCTACTAGCTTCTTGCTCCTAGTAGTAAGGCGAGCCCGTGTAGCGTCCTTCCTCCTATTCCAGGAGCCTAGTAGCTTCTCGCTCCTTGTAGTAAGGCGAGGAGCCCCAGTAGCGTCCTTGCTCCCAATAGCGATGCCAGGAGCCCCTAGTAGCTTCTTGCTCCTAGTAGCAAGGCCAGGAGCCCCTAGTAGCGTCCTTGCTCCTAGTGGCGATGCCAGGAGCCCCTAGGCCAGGAGCCCTTAGCAGCGTCCTTGCTCCTAGTAGTAAGGCCAGGAGCCCCCAGTCGTAGCGTCCTTGCTGCTAGTAGCGATGCCAGGAGCCCATAGTAGCTTCTTGCTCCTAGTAGTATGGCCAGGAGCCCCTAGTAGCGTCCTTGCTCCCACTGCCGATGCCAGGCGCCCCTAGTAGCGTCTTTGCTCCTAGTAGCGATGCCAGGAGCCCCTAATAGCGTCCTTGCTCCTAGTAGCGATGCCAGGAGCCCCTACTACCTTCTTGCTCCTAGTAGTATGGCCAGGAGCACCTCGTAGCGTCCTTCCTCCTACTACCGATGCCAGGAGCCCCTAGTAGCTTCTTGCTCCTAATAAGGCCAGGAACCCCTAGTAGCGTCGTTGCTCCTGCGTCCTTGCTCCTAGTAGCAATGCCAGGAGCCCCTAGTAGCTTCTTGCTCCTAGTAGTAAGGCCAGGAGCCCCTACTAGTGCCAGCAGCCCCTAGCAGTTTCTTGTTACCAGTAGCGATGCCAGGAGCCCCTAGTATCTTCTTGTTACTAGTAGCGACGCCAGGAGCCCCTAGTAGGGATGCTTCTTGCTCCTAGTAGTAAGGCCAGAACCCCTAGTATCTTCTTGTTACTAGTAGCGACGCCAGAAGCCCCTAGTAGCTTCTTGTTACTAGTAGCGATGCCAGGAGCCCCTAGTAGCTTCTTGTTACTAGTAGCGATGCCAGGAGCCCCTAATAGCATCCTTGCTCCTAGTAGCGATGCCAGGAGCCTCTATAGTAGCTTCTTGCTCCTAGTAGTATGTCCACTAGTAGCGTTGGCAGGAGCCCCTAGTAGCTTCTTGCTCCTAATAAGGCCAGGAACCCCTAGTAGCGTCGTTGCTCCTAGTAGCGATGGCAGGAGCCCCTAGTAGCGTCCTCGCTCCTAGTAGCAATGCCAGCAGCCCCTAGTAGCTTCTTGTTACTAGTAGCGATGCCAGGAGCCCCTAGTATTTTCTTGTTACTAGTAGCGACGCAAGGAGCCCCTAGTAGCTTCTTGTTACTAGTGGCGATGCCAGGAGCCCCTAGTAGCGTTCTTGCTCCTAGTAGTGAGGCCAGGAGCCCCTAGTAGCGTCCTTGCGCCTAGTAGCGATGCCAGGAGCCCCTAGTAGCGTCCTTGCTCCTAGTAGCGATGCCCTTTGTTCCTAGTAGCTTTTTGTCCCTAGTAGTAAGGCCAGGAGCCCCTAGTAGCGTCCTTGCTCCTAGTAGCGATGTCCTTTGTTACTAGTGACTTAATGTTAAACAGAAACAATCCACACGCAGGATAGAGGCCCGCTGTTTCCTGGGTCTTCATGTTTTCCCTTGTCACCGGACCACAAGCACAAGCAACTCGGCCTAGTGTTGTGGTCTCGTTTTTGCTGTTTTCTGACGCGGGCCAAAGCCAAGGACTGACTACAAGTACCACACGCAGCGTTCTTAGCTTCCGGACCAGGAACTGGAAGTGGTTTGTTCTTTCCGCGCCCCTGCCTCAGGCGTGGGAAACACGACCAGCTCAACATGATTTTCAATCTCCTGGGTCTTGGACCTCAGCCACCGGCCATGGAGAGGGGGGCCTTTGTCCAACCACAGGTTGTGTGGAAGGAAACACTTTGGGCTCGGCTTGAGGTTATGATTTGGAGCGTGTCTTTTCTAACATTTGCATGGCTGGATGGCTGTTATTTCATATCTCGGTTGGCTGACCTACAAGACTCCAACCACAGATACATTTTATATCATTATATATATAAGAGGCATTCGTTGTCTTTGTTTTTCGCAGGTCTGCAATGCCATTTGCAAGCCAATAGGTACATATATATATAGTATTTGTGTATTTTTGACGGATCTTCCCTTCCAGCTACATGCCTTTCGTCGCCGAGGAACACCAGGAGAACCTGACATCGAACAGCTTGAACGAGAAGACGCAAAGAGGCGGGTGTGAGACACGCGTGGAAGGCCATGTTCCACACAATAGACGTGGGAGTCCATGTGGCACTTGGTGGCAGGTCCATTGTTTCACTTGCTTTTGCTGCATGGAATTCAGAAACTCGTGAGCATCATCCCAGTGATTTTGGCAAGGTACATTCGCTGCTTTGCTGCGCGGGATTTCCCAACTGTACTGCTGCAGCTTGCGTCGAGCATGATGGTTGTCAAAGCGGGTGGCAGAAGAATTCACAAGTCCTCATGTTTTGTTCAAGCGTTAGTTGTTTGCCAGGGCGGGTTCTCACATGTTTTGAAAGGCAACTCGCATTTAACTCAGCGTATCGGTCCCTGCTGTCCAACAACTTAGCGGGTCAACTATGGGTGGGGAAGCAGGGAGATTTGCATGATATGGTAGAGTACCCTTCCTTTCTCAGCTTAAAAAAGATCCTCGCCATGAAATTGTAGTGGTAACCTTTGTTTACAGACTGTCACTAGTTGATTTTAATAGCGATGGCCTCCAACCTATTTGCGGGGAGGAGATCAAGAGATTCTTTTTGGCCTTGCCATGGGCCAAGCGCTTCTTGTGGCGTGTTTGGATAGAAGTTTCGCGTCACCCAGGCGGTCAGGTGACGGCTTGGCTGTGAAGTTCCCTGGCGTGGATGCCATGTCTGGCATGTTTTGGATGGCAGGAGCGACCGACGTTCTGAAGATTCTTGAGGTGGCCCCTGAATTCATCAGTTAGGCAGTGAGGTGAGGGTCAGCAAGTAGCCAGTGATGTGATGAGCATTTTATGATATGTTAGGGCAAATGTGCGTGTTGGGGGCTAGGGATGGCTAGGGGTGTTTGGTGTGTTTGTGTTGTTCTTGTTCTGAGTGTTTCCGGTGTTTTTCCCATGTCATCAAGGAATCAAGGTGCTAAGTGAGAAGATCAAAACCAATGAATTGTCCCGGCTACTTAGTACCCTTCGTGCTTTCACTTGGCCAGTCCGTCAGCATCTGGCCCATCGGCACTTGGCCAGGCTGACGCCATTGACATCCTCAATCGGATGCTGCGTTTCAACCCAAAGGACTTGGCACGGAACCACTCATCGCACGGAGCTGGTGGCATATCTCCTCGCCCAGCAGGTTTGATTTGGAGTGTCAATCTGGAAACGCTGTGCTTGTTGCACTTTCAAGGCAGTGGAAGAGGCCTCTGAAATATCTCCCGTTGCAATAATAACCTCCAACCTAGTGAAAACGGGGGGGACCCAAAATGTGTTTGTCATAATAAATGCTACTCGCACAATAAACCTCACGGAACTTAGAAGCAAGTTTGTAATTGCATGTATTTACTTTATTGGCGAAATTCGATTTACTGTAGTTGACTCATGTTGGATCCCTTTCTGTTGTACGGCCCACTGAAAAGGCAGGTTTTTTGTGGCAGTAGTTTTTTATTTTGTGTTTTAGGTGGCTCGTTGTGTACTGTTCTGATGTGATCATTACAGCGAATCCGGCGCATGTGAGGATCGCATTGCCGTGACAGAGGCCTTAGAGCACAGGCCAGGGCAGCCAGCATACGCAATGCAAAATGTGCAACATCTCCAGAGCAAAAATACCACTCATAGTGACTGGGATGGGTGATGATCGTGATGGAGCGTTTTTGTGGGTCAGCATCGGCTTGGTGTGCTGAGGTTATTCACAAGTGGCCCCAATGTTATCCGCGACCAATCCCGGGAGACGTGCGGATCTTAAGATTTTTCCGGGCAGGGGGTGCGCAGACACATGGACTGGCTTCTAGAATCGTCCACCTCACGGGCCGTTTTGGTAGCATAAAGATGTGTGCTATATTTGCCTATATATATATGTGTGTGTGTGTAAATGCATATGTCCATACGTGCGTGCGTGGGTGTTTGTGTGTGTGTCTCATGGTTGGGCTCAAGGTGATTTTGCTTAGTGCGAAGCATCAATCATCGACCAATGATGCTTCAATTGGTGATGCATCAAGGCAGGCAGACAAAGAGCTGGATGCAGAACTGCCAAGGTCTGCTCCCAAATACGTCACACTGGAATTCGAGAAGGCCGATGTGTCATGGCTTTCCTCCACATTCCTGTACAGTTTCACATGGCACGTGGGGTGATGGAAGATGCTGTGAGGAACCCGATTTGGACGAGAAGCTCTTGCGGAAATACTTCTGCAAGGTGATGAGCTTGGGATATCGCCTCCCCTCGCAGTGGGACCCTGGCATCGGGGAAAGAATTGTAGGCACAAACTGGGATACAGAAGGTGACCCAATTCACCATTCTCAGGACTTTGTAGGGGCTGGCCTTTTGAAGCACCTGCAGGTTGCCTTCCCTCTCAAGTGTCCACCTGTTGGGGAGGTATCCACCAAGGGACCCAGGGTCTATGTTCAGTTTGCCAGACGGTCCAGCAGTTCCCCTAATATTCCTAACTCATTAAATGTGAATGGGACGTTTGCCGCCTCTGCTACTTTCTGTGTGCCAGAGGTTTCGTGAGTGCTGTTGCAACAGAATTCATTGCTTGACATGGCCGAAATGGAACAGCTTGAAGGATTCAAGGATGTCAATAAGGGCTGATGCTACAAGAGAATAAACACCATCGAGGCAAGTCACAGAAGTTGACTGGCTGATGCCCTTCGCCAGGAGATCAAGAAGTATCATCCAGAAATGCCAGATATGTAGCCTCCCAAGGCTGAAATGCAAAGGTATCTCCGGCTCATTTGCGTTCTGCGCTTGAGCACACTGCTTGTGCAGAAAGTTGTTTTGGCCGCTTGCTTCAGTCGCCGAGTGCGTGTTGGGAAAGAAAAACGTAGAACCATAGGACTTAAGCCAAAATATGAGGGACCGTTTATATATATATATATATAATTATGTTTTGGATAGAGTGTTGGGAAGTGTTTGGCAAGTCCGTTATGTGAGGATCTCATCCAAGTGATGACTAGGGAGGCTGGCCTCGTTATACCTGACGCATCCACAAGCGTCCCAACAGTCAGCTTTTTGCCGCCAGATGGCCTGGGCTTTGGAGTCAAAGCGCGGCGATTCAGGCTCGAGTCAGAACCAAATCGTCCGACACGGTGAATCAGTGGTGAATCAAACATTCCAGCAACAACAACGCAACAATGTCATGCCGACCTAGCTCCAAACAAAGAGCAAACATGAAAAATATAGCAGCTTAACATGAACGCTACTAGGGGCTCCTGGCATCCCTACTAGGAGCAAGGACGCTACTAGGGGCTCCTGCCATCGCTACTAGGAGCAACGACGCTACTAGAGGCTCTTGGCCTTACCAATAGGAACAAGAAGCTACTAGGGGCACCTGGCATCGCTACCTGGAGCAAGAAGCTACTAGGGCCTCCTGGCCTTACTACTAGCAACAAGAAGCTACTAGGGGCTCCTGGCATCGCTACTAGGAGCAAGAAGCTACTAGGGGCTCCTGGCCTTACTACTAGTAACAAGAAGCTACTAGGGGCTCCTGGCATCGCTACTAGGAGCAAGAAGCTACTAGGGGCTCCTGGCCTTACTACTAGGAACAAGAAGCTTCTAGGAGCTTACCCATTGAAGGATTCAACCTCTCAACCTTTGCTCTGATCCGAGGCCCAGCTGACAAGCCACAAGGGCTCACTGGCTGGGAAACATTTCCTCCGCCGCGGCGTCGCGGCGCCCTTTAGGGGCTGCAGAGCTGGTTCTCCCAAGCTGCAAGCTGCACCGCGAAGTGAGCAAGTCATGGGTGATGTGGTGAAGTGAGATGGGATCAGGGGCTCTTGGGAAGGGGAGGAGCACCTAGTGACGTGGAATCAGACTGAGACAACCCACTGTCAAGATTATGAAGGCAAATTGCAGAGTTGTTTTTTTTCTGCAGATCAGGAATCGTGTTTGAGGTTCAATCAGTCAGTGCTCAAAGGACTTGCTTTCATCCAGGCTGAGCTTTGGCGGTCACAGAATCACAGGTCATCAAAGCGATGGCTACCCTAAAGTGCACCAGGGAATTGTTGTTGGGATAGATGCCCTGCAACAAAACGAATCAGCAAAACACTCCAGATAGGGGCACATTTTCCTGGCTATTGAAACTTTTGGTGAAATGCCTTCAATGCAATTTTGAGACATTGATATGTCAATCGAAATTCGTCATTATTTCCATGAATGCGTTGAACCTGGTGCACTGCAAAATCATTCCCAGAGCTGCATATTATAGTCTGCCAAAAGTGATGTCTTGAAATAATTGAATTGACATTGTATAGATGTCATTTAAACTGAAGAAATCTGTGTTTAGTGTCAGATTCAAGGCGCTTCCGCTCGCGGCTGCTGATTGAAGGGCATGGAGACGCTGGGTGTTGGTGTTCGAGTGCCAAAACGGCGGAAATGAAATGAAAGCATTTGTTGGTGTGTTCTTCAGAATTAAGCGCGCATTCACGGAAATTCGCTTTTTGGGGTACATATGCGTGAAATGGCCACGTAAAACGAGTATATATTTACTTATATATGATGCATATGTTTTGTAATGCGCAGCTTTCTATTTTCGGAGTAATATATGTGTGAATTTAGCATGTCATAGAAGTATGAGGCCATGGAAGCATTAGGCATGAAGGCTGGTTGATTCCGATGTTGCAAGGGCCCGAACCAATAATTCAGCTTTGTGCTTAAACGGTTGCCATGTTTGCACTTGAGCGTCGATCGTTTGCATAGATCCCATACACTTGTCACAAGTGGATGCTCTACACCGGAGCCTTGGTTGTCCTCATCTGATGATCTTCCACTTCGAGGACCTTGGCGCTCCTTTCCGCTGAAGGCCTTGTTACTCCACCGCTTGATTCCGCTGATGGCGTTGTTGGTTGTGTGGCAATGGAGCTTTATGTGGACTGGCAATGGCTGGAAGTGTGCATGTTGTCAGAGTGGGAGACTACTATAGACAGAGCACACACCCCGGCTCACCTCCGAGCTCCCTCCGTTGTTGGCCGGACAACCAGACACAACGTCGAATGTGTTTGTGTATGTGAGCGATCGTTCAGAAACCGGATATGTTTTGGACCTCCTGTTCCACCTTACAGGTCGCTCGAGGGTCCTGAACATGTAGAGTCTGAAACCATGACAGATGATCCGATTATTGATCCGGATGGTGGTGAAGTCCACAAGGAAGGAAACCTCGCAGATCCATCAAAGCAAGAGCCCGATATATACAACACAGCAGTAGCAGTAGCATCAGCAGAAAATGGTGGTAATTATAGATACAGTATATGATATTGACATGATGTTGGTGCACAGCAGTCAATTGCAGACAATACAAATTAAGCTCACCAAAATGTTGCCAAGTTTGGTTAAGACATTGCGAAATGCAGTCAACAAGGCCAATCCGGCATCAGATGGCAGCTCATCCACCTGGAATTTCTGAATGGGACCGGAAGAGAGGGTTCGCTACAAGTCTGGTACGCTTCCACAACCACCGTCATGGAAGCACAACAAAGACGACTTGACGAGTTCTTTAACCAATGCAACTTGGCAATCTGGAAGCTCAAATCGTGGCTTGCATGAGCACGAAGGACGCAGCACTACTTCTCTATTCCTCGCCCACTGGCAAGGCAGAAGAAGAATGACCGCTTGGAGTCTGCAGACGGGAGATGCATTGAGCTGACCATGAAAGCATTGTTAAGCATCCTGGTAAATTCCTTACAGCATACACCAACCGCTACTGCACCGACGTTGTGAAGTTGCGTTTCAATCGGTTGCAACTGATGTAGATGTTTGGAAAGGAGTCCGCTCAGCCCTGAAACCAAAGTCTCGTACTCATTGGGGCAGGTTAGAAGCAGTGCTACGAGACCATCGTTGAATGATTTCCCTGAGCACAAACTTCCACCGCAGTTGTTCGGGAAATTTTGATAATGAATGGAGTCGAAGCTTGCCACTACTTTATCCGGCTTATCCTTGTTCCCGAAGATTTGCTGAAGCGGAAGACCCTCTCGTGAGGCCATTGAGGAAGACAATGAAGAGCTTCACGATCCGGATGTTGAGGATTAATCGGAATCCGCCGATATTGAAGAGACCGCCGACAATGTTATCGATGATAGTGATATAGTAAGATTAGTAAGATGATTCTTTCGAACCCAGCAGTTGGATCAAGAGTGTAGCAGAACGTAAGCGCGATTCTACCTGCTTTGCTTGGGGTTAATTAGGCCATTACGGGCAAATTCATTTATAAAGACAGCAATGGTAAGGACATATAATGGAAAAGAAATTATATTGGAATTGACTATGTGGATGAATTTTTGCACTAAATAGAACGCTACGGTCGAGCCTCCAGAAACATCATATATAATCCATCTCTAATGTCTTCGTGTTCATTGCAATGGTTGATTATGAGAGTTGTTGTATGGTTGGATCATCGTTGTGGGATATGGTTCATGATGTATCAAAACAGAAAGCACGCACTCTAATTATACATGAATATAGATAGATAGATAGATAGATATTAATACGAAAGCCAGCCGATAGGTTAGGCTGGAGTTGCCAATGGGCGAACGAAGTGAGTACAGGGGGTGGGGGAGGTCGCAAACCCGGTCCTGTCGGGTAGGGCGAACCCAGATAGAGCCTGGCGGGGGAGTGATAAAAAAAAGATGCGATTAGGATGGTAATGAAAATGTATGGCTTCGGGGGTTTGGTGATACGAATGACGAATTGATGTGGAATCTATATATAGTCGGCTTATTATGTTAAAATGAATGCGTAGTTATCTATATTATCTTGTATATTTGTATTTTGGAATATGTTTATATATATAAATATGTTATTTTGGCTTAATATGGTGGTTTAATTACGAAAGCTAGCACCAGCTAGCTGGAGTTGTCTTTGTTTTAGCAAGTGAGGGGCTGGAAGCCTCGAGATCGCCGTGAAAATTTTATACGTAGAGGGCGCCCCCCTCCGCGGGTTTAATTCTTTCCTTAGACGCCTTTGGAACACTTGTTGGACAATTCTTATGGTATCCACTTTGGTTTAACTCCTCTATGGAGATTTTGGGATACGATGCAAGAGGTTTAATAGATTCACAAGTTAAGGTCGATAAAGTTATTGCTATTCGTGTGTTTTACATATTTATAGTATTTACTTTATGAACGAGATTTTGTGAATTATCTCTTCAATAGCCTTATGTTTATGAAAAAAAGAAATGTTATTCCGCTTGATGTTTTACTCATCTTTTGTCATCGGACGGCGTTGTATGCTTCGACTTTAATTGATATGGATGCATCTTTGCTAGTTTTCGTTACCTATCCTCGGCCTCAAGTGATTTTACGATATTAAAGATATAATGATTTGATATTGAATTCTGTAAATGAATTCGTAATTGTTTGAATTGTATTTCGAATTTGGATTTCGATATTTGTTTATGATGTTATTTTATTGAATTCTCTAAATGAATTCTTAATTGTTTGAATTGTATTTCGAATTTGGATTTCGATATTTATTTATGATATTGTTTTTTATTTTTATTGTTTTTTCTATGATTGTTAAATTGGCGGTATTGAATTTTATATAAGGGTTGTTTTTTATTTGTAGGGAGAATTAGTATTAATATATTTTTTATAATATAATATAATAATATGTATTTTAAATTTATTCGATTTATACGATTTGTTTTTAACTATGTATATGTATTTAAAATATATATTTTTTTAAAAAATTGTTTATAAATAGAGAATATGAAAATATATATGTATTTGTAAACGCCATCTCAATTTAAGAGTAGTGCACGATTTGGGACTCGTGGGGCCGCTATATGTTTCGTTTGAATTTTTTCGATTAGCTACTCTTATGTTGTTATTTTGGCTTTCAATAGCGCTATTATTTATTCATTTGAATCGTCCGGTCCTAAGTCCGGAGAATCCTCTAATTATTTCGAACATTGTTTTCGATTTACGAGGATTCGGCGCGAGGGTTACTCATCTGGCCTTAGGGATGGGTGGGAACAGCTTTGAATAAGGTCTTGTAGGCACTCTTGCAAAAATGCTATGAGGCATGGGCATCGTCGGGCCTCGACCATGCTGAGTCACGTTTACGTTGCAATAGATTGAAGCGCTCATTTACCAGAGCTTGTGCTAGGGCCTTGAGGGAAGGACACGCTACCTTCAAAGGTAAGCAGATATATCCCCATTAAATTCCTTTTCGTATTAAATAACATATATTTGCCCATACACTTAAACCATGTCGGCTTGCACCTACCCGTTTACCGAACCCTCCTGGCCCGGGACACTTGAGCATGTTTCAGTGGAACGCATCTAGGTCGATCGAATACCCCTCCTGGTTGCATTGGTGTGATACCAGTCCGTACGACATCATCGCTCTTTAGGAATCCGGATGATCCATGAACAATGAGTGGAGCTCCAAGCATTGGCACATAGTGCACTCAGATCGTTTTGCTTCTATCTTGTTTATGGTGCCCTCAGCACTAGTTCGACAGGATTAGATTTCGATTGCATATTATGCCCATAGCCGCCTACTTCAGGTACGCTTGAACCTCCCACGACCACACGACTTTGTGATCGTTTACCAACAGGCCTGGTCCGAACACGTCAAATCTTTTCGAAACCTCCTGGCCCGGGACACCTAAGCATATTTCAGTGGAACGCATCTAGGTCGATCGAATACCACTCCTGGTTGCATTGGTGTGATACCAGTCCGTACGACATCATCGCTCTTCAGGAATCCGGATGATCCATGAACAATGAGTGGAGCTCCAAGCATTGGCACATAGTGCACTCAG